TGAGGTATTTACTAAGATTCGTTCAGTACAAAATCAAATTTGATAAAATGTGAGGGGAAATTAATTTTATTTAAATAGGGAGGGCTTGCTGGGAAATCAAGACTTCCACTTGAACATTAACACCGACCCAACTACTATAACCAGCTAGGATTTAAAAATATATATATTTAATATTCAGATCTTCCCTACATAATAGTGGAAGGGTTTTTTTTTAAATCTGTTGATGTTTTGCTCTCGAAATAAGACCTTTTGCCAGACGTTGAAACTATCTGCGCTTATTTCTCCCAAGAGGTTGAATTGTAATGAGCTTTTGCGTAGGTGTGGATCTTACTTTCCTTTTTGTATATTCGTCTCAATAATAATAATAATTGCAATAATAACTCTAATTATCTGTAATTTAACAGTAATTATGATATCCTCATTAGGACGACGGCCTATGAAGATGGACGTGGGCAAATGACGAGGGATGGTTTAGAGATGCAGCCATATCAGGCACAAAGAGAGGAACAAGAAGCAAATGGACATTGTCGTAATGACTCAAGCAATGAAGCCAAGGAGAAAAGGTCAGAGAAGAAGACGAGTTGGGCGTAATTAGGTAGAGAGAGAGAAAGAGGTTGAAAGACTTTGATGAAGAATGGAAAAGTGTGTCAGATAAAGAATCACTGGAAGATGCAAAGATGCTACGTGGAAAATACGAAAGGAAGAAGATGCAAAAATTTTCCCAGAGACAATCAAGAAAACTGGCGTGTGGTGACACTTTGTCGAAGAAGGAGGCAAGGAAGATAAGAAGACATGCTATTACGAAAACATAAGGAAGCAAAAGGAAGGGACTTCATTGAGATAATCAAGATGATGGCGAGTGAAAGGCTGGATGTTCTGTTAAAATGCGGTGAGTCAAAAATCTAATGGGGGGGATATTTATTTCCTGTAATAAAGATTATCGAGATACTAAGAAACATAATGCCAAAGAAAAACAAATTCCTATCTTATATATATATATATATATATATATATATATATATATATATATATATATAAGCAAATATATGGATATAGATCCGACAGTATGAAGAAAAAATATATACGGAAAAACAAACAAAAATCCTTATATACATTTATGCTGTTTTAATGTTAATATGTCAACGTCGGACGTTTCGGTCTAATAAACCATCTTCAGGACATATTCATAAATTATAACATTATCAATGCAACATGACAAAGACTTTGTATAATAAATTTACAGTCAGTCTGTTCCATGCTTGAATACAGTTTTTGAATTCAGAGTTACTTTCTCCTAAACCGGTTTCCATCCAAGGCTGTAGAACTCAGTCTGTCCTGCAATTTACTCATAGCTGGGGTGGGGAGAAGAGGATTCATACCTTGCCCAAGGGTATTAGCGCGAAAGTGAATGCAATGAATCTGAATGGAATCCGAACACGACTCTCAGCTATCCATTACTCCACCGTGCCTCCTTTTGTCCTGCTAGTTTTCCTTAATAATAATTTATATATATATATATATATATATATATATATATATATATATATATATATATATATATTATAATTTGTGTGTGTGTGTGAGAGAGAGAAATGGGGAGGTGCTTGAGCGGCTAGGAATGAGGCGATCCTAGCGATTGGCTCCTTTGGAAAGTGTCTGAAAACCATAACACGGTTTAACCCAAGCCTGGTGAGTGAAATCGTAGACGGGACTGTTCGGAAGCCGTCGATGGTTGTACTATTCCGAATAACAGCTTTGAAAATAGCGATAGAGTAACCAGTGGCTAACAACGTTTCGTCTGTAGGAAAGGGATTTTAGGTTGGAAATCAATTCATCATCCGCAAGGCCGCGCAGACACTTTTGAGCTATGTCGAAGCCAGACTGGGTAGCTCCAGCCCAGATATGGCAGCAATACTCCCACTTTTCGTCTGATCTGGTTCTTATCCAGATAGAGTATGGTAAAAGGCAGGAAGATTGCTGAGAGCTACAAGTAGGAACCAGTTTTCCACCATATTTAGCGTTGGATTTAGCGTACGATTATTCTATTCATCAGAATTCGGCTGATAAGTTTTGTTATATGGTTCATTAGACCGATTGCCCAATGGAGTTTGCATCTACTTAGAACTTCCGGTATATAACCACTGTTGTATACTTCATTTATTATATCTGTGATTTTGTCAATGCCGAAATCATCTAAAGCTGCCATAAATATTCCTGGTCCTTCGATATTCCTGGGTACTACGGGTTACCGTTTTTCGTCGTCGAAGAGTTCTCCGATGTATTCTTTCCATCTCTAAAGTATTTTTCTTTCTCCAATATCAGCGTTCCGTCATTGGATTCTCTGCATCCTGTCTTTTGTCTTGTTATTTCTCTTAATCTTTTATGCATGTCTGCTTGATCCGTAAGACTCATTCTTGTTATTTCTGCACAGATTTCGTTGAGGCATTCCTCTATTACCTACTTACTTTTTTTCCTAATTCTTTGTGCAATGTTCTATATTCTATGTCATACCTTTGTATTGTTTGTTGTCTCCTGACAATTAGTCAGGAGACAACAAACGAATAGATATTTTAACATTTCATATGCAGATGACAGTGTTGATAGCAGATATAGAAAATAAGCTAGAGGAACTCCTACAGAAGGTAGCGAGAAGAAAGGACTAAACATCAATTACAAGAAAATAGAATGCATGATTGTTAGAAAAAGGGAACAGCCTAACATGCAAATTACAAATTGGAAAAACCAAAATCAAGTAGAATAAATTCAATATCTAGGAAGTGCTTTAACAGAGGACGGTAAATGTGACACTGAAATCCGAAGACGCATTAGGATAACGAAAAATGCGTTCGAATAGCTAAGACAAGTATTAAGTAATAAAAAAAAATTTTAAATCAAAAGAAAGTGTGCTGAACTTTTATGCAATATCAGTCTTTCTAAATGGCAGTGAATGCTGGACAATCTCATCGTAAATGGAGAACTTGAGGCAACTGGAATGTGGTTCGACAGAAGGACAATGAAACTAACATGAACGTGAGTGACGACGACGTTTTAGCGAAAATGTAAAAAAAAAAAATTACAGCACATAATGAAAAAAGAGGGTTTGTAAAATGTGATACTCACATGACATACACCCTTGTGCAAATTAATTGAAACAAAACGAATAATTCCGTTATTTACTTCTTTTTTTTTTGGTATTTTTCCAATGAAACATGATCCAGTGCACATATCAGTGCTTCCTATGTCTATTCTACGAAGTCGTTCCTTTTTGATTGACCACAGATTCCCGATTGGATTTAAATCAGGAGAGTTTCCCGGCCAATCTATAGTACTTTGATTTGCTCACTGGTAAGGCTTGCCAGTGTGTTCGTGTAGCGTTACAATTTTCGTACGCTTCTTTGGAGTAACGTCCATCGAAAACAATGGTCGTAAAACAACTAATCGACAGTCGAGACAATAGTGTCGAGCGTGATGAAGATTTGATGCAATCACGGATGACGCAATATTTTTCAAGGCCAATGAATTTCATCATACACCCCGAAAACAGATTCATATTACGGCACACCACTGCAAATGACCTAATCTGAGGAAAAAATAGAAATCGATTACACCCTGTCACTTCAGTGGGATAAAAACTGACCGTATGGCGAAAGAAAGGAAACTAAAACGGTTGTTTAAATTAATTTGCACAAAAGTATATTGAAAGCAAGAGGGATAGACGAAAACAGTTCATAAACCTACCTACCGAACCTGTGTGAATGAGGGTTTATGTATGATAGACAAAAAGGCTAACTTTACTAATAGCTATAAAGGACTGGTAATTGTGGAGAGCCGTGATAGCCCATCTCATGAAGGGACATTGCACGCAAAAAAATAATTGCAGCACTGCCAATCGTAGCACTTAGAATATAAAGTGTATGCAATTTTATTTTATTTTTTTTTTTTTTTTTTTATTAATAAAAGAAAATGTTTCTGTTGTAATCATTTCATTTATTCTCTTTTCAAATAAAGGAGGGATAATAATTTTTTCACACATCCACTGTATTTCAAATTTTAATGGTCAAGGTTTTGTTTTTTTTTAAATATATATTAAGTTTCCCTCCCCGATTCCAAAAGGAATCTGCAACCGTTCTCAAAGGTGACTTCGTTGTGTGCTGAGCAGCTCGTTTTCGTTGTCGCATTCCTCATTGTCCGCTTTTAAAAGAGAGAAAGAGAAAATTGCTTCTTCACAGAGAAAACGACGAAGTGAAGAAAAAACATTAAAAGAGAAAGAGAGAATTCCAGGGCGGGGTGGGGAGCATTGTTTGGGTGGGGCGAGGGAAGAAGAGCAATGGGTTGCGGAAGGGCGGGAAGAGATTATCGCGAGGAAAGGAACGATATAATGTATGCCGTTCAATTAGACGACCGAGTATCATGTTCATTCAATAAATTTCATCAACATTCAATTAGAAGTAATTTAAAATGGCGCTTGATTTATTTCAAAAATCGTTTTGTAAATCTTATTAAAAAAATGTTTGCAGAATTTGAACTGGTGTCGCTGTTGTATGAAAACCTTACCAGCAGTCGGCTATTGTAATTGTGAATAGAGATTTGCATTTAGTGTGTAATGGTTACTAGCGGGCAAAATAGAATCGGCAAGCCGAGTTCAAATTCCGACCTAGTCTGTTGCGTTTACTTTCTCACTAATGCTCTTGAGGAAAGGTATAAATTCGTTTTCCTCAAAACTAGGATTTAAATAGTAGGGTAGACTGGGCTTTCTAGCCTTGGGTGGTTGTCAGGCTAGGAGAAACCTACTCTGAATTCAAAACTGTGGTAATAGCATCTGGAATCCACTCCCAAGAAATTATGTTAATTCCCAAATAAAGAAAAATGAGTCGATGGAGAGCCATGGTCACCTGAGTCCTGAATGGACATGCCATTTTTTTAAATAGTAAAAGGTTGTGGATTATTTCTGAATTATTTTGATCTCAACGTTTCGTCAGATACACTCTTCAGCCTTCGTAATGCTCCCTTTCTTAATTTTCATTTTTAAGATGAACATATGTTTTCGTGCTAATAGTGAGGGAGATTTCGTTAGAAATAAAGAAAAGAGTACTGAATTGTTACGTAATATCAGCCCTCCTATATGGCAGTGAATGCTGGACAATCTCATCACAAATGAAGAAATTTAAAGCAGCAGAAATGTGGTTCTACAGAAAGATGCTGAGAATACCATGAGCCGGAAATGCGAGCAACGGCGAAGAAAATGAAAACGAAAAATCACTGAAATTTAATATTCAGTTGAAATCTCTAGGGCACGCCATGAGGAAAGAGGGCTTGAAAAATGTAATACTGATAGAATATTGAAGGCAAGAGAGCCAGAGTAAAACAGCACATAGCCTTCTTCAGGAACGTGAATAAATATTTGGCGCAACAGGATTTAGGAACGATTTTTAAAAAATTCTTAAGAGCTGCAAAGGACAGGAAGTTTTGGAGAGCCACGATTGCCAACGTCCTGAAGGTACATGACACATAGAAAAATTGAAGGTGCGACTAGAAGCCGACCTTTGTTGTAAGAATCACTCATAGTTACCAGTCATATGAAACACAGGACTGGGTGCAAAGGTCTTGTGTTGCTCATCACAAGAAAACGGATAAAATAGCATTTTCTCTTCAGTTGTGTGCCATGCGTGATACACGCGTACATAACTGACGAGGTAGATTTTTTTCGCGCGCAGTAGGTTGCCATTTCTTTCGGAGGTGGACCAGTTGCCACCAAGAACCCGGTCTATCTTGCTATTTAGACATAGCTGGGGTGGGGAAGAAGAAGAGGATTCATACCTTTCGCAATGGTATTAGCACGTAAGTCAATGTAATGGACTTGACTGAAATTCGAACTCGGCTCTCTGATTCCTCAGCCGCTATCCATTACTCTACCGTGACTTCTCTTATTGATGCTTAACGCGAGCAGAATTTGGTTTCTCGTAATTTTGCATGTTGTGTTCTTTTAATACTTCAAATGTTATTATTAGTGGATACCCGTAGCTGAGTAGACGCTTCGTTTATTTTAAACAGTACTTATTTCGTTTGGGTGGCTAGCTAATCCCGATTGCAGACGCTTTCTCAGGCGCATTTTGTGTTTATTCAACACCCACAGAGCCTATCTGTGGTTTATACTGCAATTATGCTGAGCAGACCTTAGTTACAGTTTCTGGGAAAGAGTGTGTTATCTAGCGTGATCAACAGTTTGAACAAGGCCAGCACGCTCAAGCCCTCGGCCACGTTGACTTGTGACTTCAGATTAAAAAAATTAAAATCGATTAATTCTTTAGAAATTGCTTCTTTTAAGTTTCTCATTTTTAGACATTGCTTTGCACAATTTCTACCTCATTTCCTCCGCCAGATCAGTAAAGTCAGTGAACTGAATGCTAACGTACTCGAAGCGCAGGCGACATTGACATAGCACCGGTTGAGAAGCGCTAATGAATTTACACTACCTCTTTTTAGCATCATTTCGTTTCAAACGACCTTATGTTGGCTCCCGGTGAAGCACTCTAAATTTTAACATTCCATTCTTCTAATTTTTTTTTCTTTTGACATATTTTGTTATTTCTGAAACCGTTCAGATTATGTTGTTTGTTTTTGACACGCCATTTCGTCCGATACGTTCTTCAGTCTTTATCGGCGATATATAGTTTCTGATGCAATTTAGATCGCAAATAGTTTTTATTTCTTTATTTTTTCATCCCCTTCGTTCGAGCATCAAAGTCTTAACAGAATCACAAGACCGAATGATAGGGCAGACATGTTAGTAAAGTTAACGCGAGAATAGACGCGATTAGAAGAACGCCATCTTTTATCTCTGTTTTGGGATACAATAACGAATTCATAGAAAAAAGTTTCTAAGCCTGCCCAATGTTAAGTTATTTGTTTTTCTTTCTTATTTACTTTTCTTTTATTGTTAATAATGTTCCTTTTCCAACCTGCATACTCTTTTTTCTTATACCTTATGAAGACGAGATAATTCGCCGACTGAAAAGCTGTCTTAAAAATAACATAGTTGAAAAACAGATTTAAAATATATGGAATATTTAGCAGAATATTAATAAGACTTCTCTATGGTACTATATTATTGAAAAAGTCTCGCTCTACTAAGAATTGCTTGCTTTTTTCATTGAATTTATATTTCTATTAATAGCTGTAGTCATTAATTCTTTTCCTTTCATTTGGATAAAAACATCAAATTTGTGAGGACCTTTCAATCAATTTTCGACTTTGTTTTTTACTAGAATTTGTTTATTCGAAAAAAAAAATCTTTCTTTTTCCTTTTTCCGTTTTCTTTTCTTTACCCCTTTTCTGTGTTTTTTTATCTTCTTTTGTTCTTTTCTTTTTCTTCACTTTTTCTTTTGTCGTCTTATTCTTTTTCTCTCCCTTTTCCTCCATTACCCTTTTCTTCCCCTTTTCTTCTTTCGCCCTTTCCTTTACTTTTATTTGTCTTTTCTTCTTTCGTTCTTTTCCTCGTTTTCTCCCCCTTTTCTTTCGTCAGTTTTCTTTTTTCTATATTTTTTTCCATCGTCCTTTTTTCTATTTTCTTCCGTTTTTCTCTCTTATCTTCCTTCGCCTTCTTCTTTTCTTCCTTTTTCTTATTTTTCTTCCTTTGTCCTTTTACGTTTTCTCCATCCTCTTCCTTATTTCCTCTCCTTTCTTCCGCCTTTTTTTTTTTTTTACTCTTTTCTTCCGTTTTCTCACTTTTCTTCCTTTATCCGTTTCTTTTCTCCATTTTTCTTTCATTCTTTTCCTGCTTTCCCCCCTTTCTTCCTTTGTCTTTTTCCCTTTTTTTCCCCTCCATTCTTTTCCTTTTTCTCGTTTTTCTTCCTTTTCCTTTTTTTTTCTTATCTCCTTCCTTCTTTTCCTTTTTCTTTTTCTTATCTCCTCCGTTCTTTTCCTTTTTCCCTCCTTTTTCTTCCTTTTTCTTTTTCTTCCCCTTTTCTTCTTTCGTTCCTTTCTTTTACTCACCCTTTTCTTCTTTCGTCCAGTTTTTAACTCCCTTTACTTCCTTTCCGCTTGCGCTTCCTTTTGTATCCCTCTTTTGTTTCTTTCCTTTATCCCCCCTATGCCCTCTCTTTTACTTTCCTTTTTCTCCTCTTTATTTTTTATCATTTTTCTTCCTTTCTTTGTCGTTCCATCACCCATTTACGCTTTTCTTTCGTTTCACACTCTGCAAAACAAATCTGTTGATTGTTATGCAGTCGCTCCAACACGTAATATCAAAGTGTTTCAGCTGATCGACGAAAGTCTGACACGCGTGTCAAGTGCTTGCATCGATGTTTTCTTCTTGTCGGAAGAACATTAAAGAAAATAAATAATCGTTATATTCCTTGCTCCAAATGCATTCAGTTGCTGCGATATGAAACGTTAACAACTCAATGCATTTGTGGCAAGGGCAAGATCTACAAAAGACATTACTTTAAAACAACTTTAATCGAACGATTGGCATATTTTGCAACAAAACAAACATATTTAATTCATCTGCGATGCTAATCATTGCTCGTTGAGTCAATTCGATCTTCACTAAACAGACTAAGCGAAACTTATTAACTGCCTACCTGGGGGCAACTTCCGTAGCACGATGGCTAACAAATTAATCTCAGAGACCATTGGCAGTAGAAATTCGCTGCATACTTATGGGACCCCCTCCAATCAGACTAAATTCGGTTGGCATTGCCTGGCAACATGCTGCTTTCTGCATGAAATCGACTATTAAGCTGTATCTTTTTATACCTAGTGTAATAGACGATTCATATCAAGAAATACCAGACTAGAATTTAATTTCAATGAGGAATATTTGTTCTTTGATCTGTGATGACTCGAATATAATATTAAATAGTCTTAGCACTCAGTGTCGCATCAGAGACGCCAGGTGTATCAGCGGGTTGATCGAGAAAGCGATCTCCTAGCCAGTAAGTGCAGGTTCGCATCTCATGGGATGTCAACATGTAAACAAGTAGTTGCGTCAAATGCACTTACGATGTGCACACATCAAACAACTGAATTATATATATATATATATATATATATATATGCGCGGTACTTATTGGAAAGTGCTCAATATTAGTGTTAGAACTAAAATATTCAGTTGTATGGATATTACTTGTAACCCTGAGTTTCACGCTTTTGCGACCCTCAAGCAAACTCTGATGATCGCAAAAGCGTGAAACTCAGGATTACAAACTCTTATCCATAAAACTGAATATATATATATATATATATATATATATATATATATATATATATATATATATATGCACCACTCGACAGGAAAAAGACAGTCTCTTACATCCTGACAAGAAGAAGAAAAGAATCCATGTTCGGAGAAAACCCCTAACGCCACACACCCACTCGCTGACATTAAATGATAATGCCTGGACGTGAATAAAAAAAGGTGGCGTGTTCTTGTTAGGCTGTACAAGGATAACTTTACATCACCATTTTCAGATTAAATATGCTGACTTCATATTGAAAAAAAAATTACCAGAGATACGATTCAAATCCCTTTTTTATAGCATCTGACCTGACATCCCGGCTTGTGTCATGTTCCTACCGACGTAACGTAGCTTCCCTGTGTCTTTTCTAAAATACTTTTGTTGTAAACTAGAAAAGGTTACTGAATTAGGAATAACCAAAACGGAGGTTGGAAATGGAATGGTAATTTTTATAACACCAACAAAATACAATACTCGCCAGCGACATGAAGTAGGTAAACCACTGCTAGTGGGGGGCTACTTAGACAGCATAATACCCCCCACTTACAATAATGTCCAACGTATTTATGAGGATTGGTACACAACCATTGGTGTTCATAGGTACGGTATATAACAACTTTCATGGTAATTGTTCCGATGAACTTTCCTCGATGGTACATAGATTTTATTAATTGAAGCGCATTTTTAGATTGGCGGCAAGGTCTCGTTATTTTACAGTTAAAAGGGCTAGATCTAACCGTAAGTTCTATGCTAGCATTTTCTTCTCTTGCACTTCTCACTTGTGGAAAGATCTTTCGACTTCTTGCTTCCCAGTCAACTTTGATCTTCAAAATTTAAATGCAATAGCTATCTTATGTCTTCTTAATTCTTGCTTTTTTTATTGCCCTCTCTCCTTAAAAGTATTTTTTCCATATTTTCTAACACTCCGCAACCCTTGTGCACGTGATTTTTTAGGGTCTAAAAATTGACTAGCTCCCGACTGTCTCTTCGGTGCTACCGGGAGGATAAACTAGTCCAGTCAGTGCTTTTATACTTTTTATTATTACCCAGTTCATGAAAAGGGCTTACGATCACATCAAGTTGAAACACAGGTTCCCGTAAGTTCACCGAAGTTAAGCAACGACGAGCTTGGTCATAAGGTCAGTACCTTGATGGGTGACTATTTGGACATGCGGGTAGTATAATGAGCTCTCGGCCACAGCGTTGAAACACTGTTTTCTCGTACGATCATCGAAGCAACGCATAACATACTCAGTGAATGGATAGCGGAACAGGTTTTAGGAGAAATAACAGAAAGACAAAGTTTATTAAGATCTACAAAGGACAGGAAGATGTGGAGAGCCATAATCGCTTACGTCCTGATGGCACACGGAACATAAAGAAAAATCTAGTTAAAATGTAATGCTGGTATTAAAACCTATTTTTACACTTTAATAGTGTTTTGCCCCCAGTTTGGGGGTTAACTATTTGCCCATAGTTGGGGCCCCTAACAGGTGCTACGACCCCTGGTCAGTATGCACCTGGGAACATCAGCAATTCAGAGGTGGTTCCACGCTCCTCAAAACCTCCTGATCAGAGGCCTTGCTGTATATCGTCTTACCCAGGATGCAGATGTAGTTTATCGTCATACCCAGGACAGTAGTATGCCTTAAATAACGGTCAGGTACTATTCCCTTAGCGGACAGATTATTGGAACTAAAAGCGAGGAGTGACTGTATTGTAATGTGTAATTCATGGTTTGGTTTATTAAAGAAAACCATTGAATTAATCAAAATTAGATTCTTATTATCTTATTACTTGTCTCTTTTATATTTTCTTTTCAATCGAGACATGCAAAAGGTTAGAGAAGAGAAGCCGATTAGAGAAAATCTTGCCAAAGGTCACTTTCAAACAAAGAAAGGTGTATTGTGCTTCTTGCCGCGTTAAGTTCTGTTGTCATGTAACCTATGAACGATTGAACATCTCTTGCGATGAATTCTCTCAAGTGGTAACCAAAGGCTTGATTTTTCCCCGGCATTTCTGAAGCAAAGGGCGGGAGTGACGTCATAATTCAGTGATTCTTAGTAAATTGTCCATAGCTTAACGGCAGTCACGTACTCTTTCAACCAGACTCGCCTATTTCTTCTTGCAAAGGAAAGAGAATCGGTTTTGATTTTTAAATTAAAACTGAAGTGCTTTTAATCGTAAAGTTATGATAAAAACCAAATACGAACTGAATATGAATCACTTTCCTGTTCCTATCTAAGGGAGATTATTGTGTCCAATCTTCAAATTAGACTACTACTACTACTACTACTACTACTGCCAGTCGTAAATTTACAATAACAGGCAAATACGAACTAAATATCGTCCTGGGTATGACGATAAACTACATCCGACAGCAAGGCCTCTGATCAGGTTTTGAGGAGCGTGGAATCACCTCTTAATTGCTGGTGTTCCCAGGTCCACCCTGACCCGGGTTGGTAGCACCTGTTAGGGTCCCAGCTATGGGCAAATAGTTAACCCCCAAACTTGCTCAAAACACTATGAAAGTGTAAAAATAGGTTTTAATACCAGCAATACGTTTTTGTAAAAAAAATTACCAGTAATACATTCTTAACAGCAATAAATTTTTAAAAAAAAATATTACCAGCAATACATTTTTGAAAAACGAAATATTAACAGCAATACATTTTGTAAAAAAAATATTAATAGCAATACATTTTTGAAAAAAAGAAAATTATTACCAGCAATAAAAATCTTGTGGGCATTAAATAACCCATTGAGGTTGATATACCGTAAAACAAAACAAACCAAAGCAAATCAAACCGAATATGAACCACTTTCCTATTCCTATCTAAGTGAGATTATAGTGTCCAATCTTTAAATTAGACGACGACTACTACTACTATTACTAATGCTAAATTTTTGAACGCGCTGGTGATGAGGTTAGAGGTTCGGAACGAGAAATCGGCGACTCGAGTTCGAATTCCTATTGAGTTTGTTGCAATAACTTTCTCATAAATACCTTTGGAAAAGGTATGAATCGATCTCTTCTCACTCTGGCTATGGATTAAATAGAGCTGGCAACCAGTCTGGGACAAGGAAAAAACTCTTAATATAACTTTGGCAAATGTACTGAAAGGATCATGGAATTAACATTTCGAAATATCCAGTTCAAAATTAAATAAAACTAAGCTCAGAAAATACAATTCATGTGGCTTTGGGGCTTTAACGAAGCAAGTATTGCATCATCTTATCAGTAAATCTGTGCAGTAACATGATTTGTGTAATATAAATACATTTTCGGTTGTTTGTCAAACGATTTACGCTTTTATTGAAATTCAGTCAAATACCAATTAACGACAAGAACTTGTATGTTGAAATTGTTTGAAATCCGTAATTAATATTTTGATCTCAGTTGATAAATTCATAATATTTCCTATTTCTCTTATTTTTCTCTAGGTAAGTGTCATAAAGTCGGTGGATAAATTTGAACACCTTTCTCATTGTTCTTCGCTGAGTGCGTAACCAGTAAGTGCCATTTCAGTTGCTTTCTCTTTCTATATGAAGTCATTTCTCGATATTATCTAATATCTTTTTGTACAACGCAATAACAAAACAGGGAAGGCGAAGACACAAATGTCGTTATATTTTTCTCTTCCTATGTCTCTGAAGTGTGACCGCCAGCCTGCCTCAAAGAAATGTGTATTTGATATCCTTGTTTTTGATTTGGGCTCAGACACTGACCCATGGTACGACTGAAGAATAGGTAGATTTAGTCTAATCAACAGTTAACACGGTAATGATCAAATCTTCATTACTAAGCATAAAGGGATCCTTTATTATTATTATTATTATTATTATTTCCTTTGATATCTGGCGTTTACACATTTCTTTCCGGGTCCAACCCAGGGACCTAAGGTTAGAAATGGTGTAATGACACTTTCCACTGACAAAAAAAATTACATAGATAAAGCCCTTCGTAAAGTGTGGGCTGTATTTGTCAGAACAATTTTTTGTATCTATTTGAGGCATGGACTTCCAGGAATCCCTTCAATTAGTCTACTGGAATCTTTTCCAACCAATCTTAGGACTCCAACTACAACAG